AAATTTTCTCTTTTTTTTTTTTTTTTTTTCGTAGCCACAATTACTGCAAGACGTGAAAAATGCAAGGGAAACCATTTTAAATTTAATAAATTATCAAGTATTTAATTTGAAAGTCTAATTTTGCTTGTGAATCTTAAATTAATAAGTCAGGATCAATTCACAAATTAATACTTTACTACACGGAGTAATGAAGTTCATTATGATCATGAGGACGCGATCATTAAGTTCTTAGTATTAATTTATGCAGTTAAGTAATTGTGCCTCCTCTTTTCAGGGAAATGCCTACATCTAAGTGGTCTCACGCCCGAACCATTGACTGCGGACGACGATTACAAGCTTTTGCGACTCGGTATTGGCTTTACAAATATGGTAGCACGTGCGACGAAAGGCAGCGCAGATCTTACAAGAAAGGAAATTAAAGAAGGTCAGTATGCCGAACGCTTTTAGTATGTTTGAAACGAGCGATGAGATAATTACGAAATCTCGGTCGAAAATAATTATTGCATAAGCCGATATCGCCCCGACATAATTTACGGGAAAATTAATTTGAACTTTGTATTATATTCACGTGCGTTATACAATATTTTATCATAATATTTATATTTTATTATGTAAAAAATCGAAAGATAGGATATATATATCGGTTCGATTAATATTTATGAATTTAAGCTTTACAGTTTCGACATAATAAGCATTTGAGACATGAAATTAAAACATTCTTAAAATTTGTCAAGTTATTTTTGCAATGATTAATTATATATAGGGTTCCTATTGTTTTTTTTATTAATTCTTTAGTCATCTCGAGTTTCCTTTTAAAACGGTTTATTCAAAATTTGTAATTCATTGACCTGACATGCATCGGCGTTTACGCCTATTGCTTTCCTTTTTCTATTTCCATTAAAGTCACCTCTAAAACGACATGGCCAACATGTGCCTTTGACGAATGCATGGACTATCCCTGCTGCACTAATGTTGACGTTCACGCCCACTACTTTCCTTTTTCTATTTCTATTGAAAAAAAAGGAAGACAAGGGTCATTGACGTACGTCAATACAATGCCTACAATTTGTGAATCTTGGACAACTATTCAATTGAAACTTTCGAAAGTTATTTTAAAGAACAAGGAAACGATGATTTAATTGTTAGAACTGTAATATTTTACGTGTCTATTGAAATAATAACTCAATAAATTCAAGAATAGAAGTTTTAAATTTTCGTAACACCAATTAATCACGATCGTATCACGATTGTTAGGAACCGATTCTCTTTGAAATATATTGTTAAACACAAGAAGCTTTGGAAAGTTGTTTCACTTCTTAAATCTGAGATTAAGCCGATATAAAGAAGATACATGCCTCTTAGATATTGCTGTTTGACAACATACAGTAAGTGCAAAACGTATTCGTACAGAGAAAATATTTTTTAAAAAAACTTTATTTTTAAAAAGTAAATATTATCCAGTGAGAAATGAGTCATCGAATTGACGTCGAATCGATATCGATATGATGATTTCAATTCGACGTTTAATTGACAATCATTTCTTGCTGGGTAATTAACAATTTATTCATAAAGAATAAAATAGACTGTATATTTCTTAAAATTATATATACCAAAAAGATGTGTATTAATTATAGAAAATATATCATTTGAAAAATAAGCAAAAATTAAAAATTCTATTGTTTGAATGCTCAAAAAGTATTGGTAGTTGAGAAATTTAGCTTCTAAATTCAGGAATATATGCGAAGCTCGTTTGTTTACGTTAGAATAGAATATATTCATTGTATAAAATGGCTAATTAATATTTATTTTTTACAAATAAGACTTTTTTTATAAAAAGTTTCCTTATACGAATCTTTGCTCTCACTGTACTTTGAGGAAACTCGAATCAGTACCGTACAGTGATGACAGCCCTTTGTTTATCAAATATTCTAAACACAGAGAATAACCACGAGACGTTTACAAACATATATCCTATAACTTGATAAACTTTTCGGACGAAATGTGTTGCTGATTGTCCTAAAGCTAATGAAATTCGAGAAAACTTGAAGAAAAAGCAACGTGGCTTGAACTACTCGATCGCTATTACTTTGCTCGAATGTTCTCAACTCATTGTGATTGGTCGCTTAAACAGGAAGCTCAATGGCATATTTGTACTCGACGTTTCTCTCTCTCACAACTATGGTGCTGGTAAATTACGGACCCTATAAATTCTACCGTGACGCAGCGCATTCTTTGTTGTTTTGCTTAGGTAGTTTTCCTTAGAGTTAAGAAGGTCTAGTGTCTGGCTTAGGTAGCTCCAGTCTACCCCAAAAGTTAGTACGCTTTCGGCTGTGAGACTGTAAACGTCGTCTCGCCTTGATGTCCCGTGCTGAATCTCGGAAGAGATACATACGATCGCAGTATGGGAAGCACGGGTTAAAGAAATAATCGCGAGATAAGTGCGTGAGAGGTATCCAGGGTGAATTACCTAAATCGCTGAAACGTAAGGAACGTGTTTTCTTTTAACGGTGCAATGCGTGCGTAAACTTCGGTCTCGCTCAAGTTTATTTATTCGTGCTCCACCCTTTGTTCGAACTTTCGGGTACACTCTTGCTCCGAATATATATCTCAAGAACGTGAAACAGAATCTCATCGAATGCACTGAGTTCTAAATAAATAAACGCGACCTAAGAATTCTCACGTTTCGGAATTTATGCCAAAAACGACGTTGTTATCTGCGTTATACGTGTTTTCCTATATATATCTCAAGAACGTGAAACAGAATCTCATCGAATGCACTGAGTTCTAAATAAATAAACGTGACCTAAGAATTCTCACGTTTCGGAATTTATGCCAAAAACGACGTTGTTACCTGCGTTATACGATTACGTGTTTTCTGAGCAGCCACGTGCGCGTAATAAAGGCGAGAATATAGAGGCTTACGTAACGCATAGGGCATAAGAAAGTGAACCAATCAAAGCAATTAAGTAGTAAGCGAATCGACATTTCTATGGGCTTTCTACAATAAGCCACATCCTAAGCTTTAAATCTAAATAATAAAGTCGTAAGAAATTGATCGCAGTCGAATGTAAGAAGAATAATCAACTATGATTGGTCAATTGTAGAAAGCCCATTAGATTCGACGCTGCTTACGTTATTGCCTTGTGTCTCTACTGTGATTGGCTGATTCGCTTATGCCTTACGTTTTTTTGTGTGCTGCAGTCTTTGTTCCTCTCGTTCGGAGGAGAAACATCCGTCTCTTACCAACGTCAGGCCGAATTCAATAGACGCGATGCCACGAGTGGGGAAAGTTTCGACATATCGATGCGAGATCGTTTCACTGCATTCATAAAAACGCCTATATATGTATATATAATGCCCGTTTCTACCAATCTAGATTAACTTTAACCTCGGTTAAACTTAGGGTAGTATTCACAGTCCATTCTTATTATAAGGTCGTCTTAAGCCGCTCTACAATGAGATTTTAAGGCGTAAATCTTAAACTTTAAGCCTTAAGCTGTAAGAAATTAATCAATCGAGTGCGAGAAAAATAATCGATTATAAATAATATCTTTAGATGCTAATAAAGCCCTCTGATTGGCTTATGATATTTTAAGGCTGTACTTGAATATAAGAATTGATTACGAAGACCAGTCTTACTCTTTGTCTTTTTCTAATATTCTTAGAACTAGAAAAACATGAAAAGTTAGTTGAACCAAGATTTAAAATTGATAGAACGGAGCATAAATGGTGAGGTTATCGCGTATACAGGGCTTTTCACACGACACCTTGCGAACCGATTTGGAACTTAAAAAAACGATTTTTTTTCGACAGAAGGATACATTTAAATTTACTCGACTATTTTAATTCTCTTAAACGATCGTTTCGTTAATTGAATTAGCAGATTCACTGTCTTGAACAAGGCTTCATAATTCGTTTTTAACTCCATTTTACCGACGCATATCCGGAGTAAAGTGAACTTATATTCCGCGATATCCATGAAAAAGAAAGGAGCAGTGTAAAAACGACGTAAAAGCAGATAAAAGTAAACATAACAATAGTAATGAGATAAAAGCCGGTTGCATCAACAGGTTAGGGCCGAGCGAATCGTGTGTGCGATTGCCTCCATGTTTCTTTCCGAAGTAACAGCTCTAATCGCTTTTCCCACGCGCCGCATGGAAACAAAAATTTTCCAATTTGTCGCCGAAATTCGGCGGAGCGGCTCGAATGTTGGCGTTCATTCATCGTACACGACAAGCGTCTTGCAGCAATGTATCTCCATCCCGATCGATCTCCCTCGAAGGGACTTGGATACATTTATGAACGACATCCATCGCGATATCATCGCAGCGATGTGTCTAGCCGGGAAAAAGATGTACCGGCGCCATTTGTGACAATAGCAAACGGCGCCGTTACACGGCATCGGCGAAAAGAAGCACAAGCATCGTGGATCATGATCGAAGGGTGCTCTCACCGTATCGTTGATCGTTCGTCGCGTGCCCGCGTTGGAGCCGGTCCTCCTCGACGGACGTCGCGGTCCATCTCATCGTGTCGACGCACTCACGCTCGTACAAAGCATCGTGTCTCACTTCTTCCATCCCACAGCAGTCCTCGAAACGTTTTTTAACGGACCGATCACTCGGACATAGCGGCCATGCGTGTACGCGACGCGGGAAGCGGCAGTACTGCCAACTTTATCGGCCACTCGCTCCGCTCGCGCTTAAAGGCATATCGCAACACGCGTGTCGCGTATTGCCCTGCCGAAAGCGGTGTAGACCCCGCCATCCATCCGAAAATGTCGCCCTACCGACGGACTTTCATTTGCCTATCATTAGAGAGAGACGCGACGCACCGATTTCATTTTTAAATCGTGCAACCACAGGTTTCGCCGAAATACATGCGGTATTTGTATTTGTACTCTCTAAATCTTTTTTTTTTTTTTTTTTTTTTTT